GGCCCAATAATCCCTAGATAAGAGGAAAGCCTCAATTCTCATATCGATCATTTCTGTGCTTAGAAAAATGCAGAGTAAAGATGCTTACCGATTGTACCGTCTCTTTCCAAAGAATGATAACTGCAGCTCGTCAAACTTAGCCCGCATTGCGTTCCGTAATGCTTCCTTCGGTCCGAGGATAATCGTTATCTGGGCGGAATTGTCTGTGACATGGAACGCGAACACAAACTTTCCTTTTATTTTATAATTTGGACAGTATTTAACTCAATTCGCGATAAATTTATACCTCCCGAAGGCCCGCATTCATAGCATTGGAAAGTATTCGCGACTCGCTTTGTCCGCCATCTTGAATCTCTTGGTTTGTTGTGAAACACAACACTCCAATCAAAACACGCATTCTCATTGGTTGAAACGTGAGTTTCGTGACATCACAGATGTCCTAATTTATCGGGATATTCCGGACTGTTTACATGTACCGTGCCGTTATAGTCCAAACTCACCCATGTATTTTTAATTGTGTAGTTTTTAAAATTTATGAGATCAAGGCTGTCATACGGGTAAAGGTTAAAACAGTTCCCATTTCTAACTAGATACAAACCAGAATGCTGTGTGCTGAGACTTACATGTATTTGGAGAAAGATTCATATTGAGGCAATAGATTCCATTATCAGGTGAGTCTTTGTGTTTCTTTGTGTTTTGTTGGAACGGTTATCAGTTGCTCAATGTTACTTGTGTTACTGTTTCACAGTTCAGCTATCACTGTACATTAACTACGAGGCTCAAAAGGCTCTTAAAAGTGTCAAATAGCTGCTTGTGAACTAAACGTTTTGGGCTTGGCCCTTCTTCTTCCACCTACTGAAGAAGGGCCAAGCCCGAAAACGTTTAGTTTACAAGTAACTATTTGACACTTTTAAGAGTCTTTTGAGCCTCATATTTAAGTATGATTTAAGTGATTGCATAGCGTCATGCATCTTATGAGTTTTTGGCTCTTTCCTACTGACTCAGCTATTATGTTGCATTGTGTTCTTGGACATGACAGGTTTAACTCTCAGAGTGCTTCCCTCCACCCAGATATACAAATGGGTACTGGGTGAATTTCATACTGGGGCTACTGTAGCATCCCATGTAAGCAGGGTGGGGGTGGGGGTGGAAGTAGAAAGATTCCTTATCAGTTGATGTTAAACTGGGATAAGATGGGGTAGTTTGGATTTACTTGGCCTGTTGAAGACTTCACCTTACTTCCATTGTCAAACTCCCCCATGTAGAGCTGAAACTTTAAAACTCTGATGACTTATGTTTGCTTGTGTAGTTTGTCAAACTTGAGTGATCAAGGAATTACATAAAGGTTACAGGAAAAGAGAAAAGAGTTGTGCTGAGACTTGAGAGGAGAAAGAATCAAATTGATACATTGGATCCCATAGTAGGTCAGTTGCAATTTTATTTTTGTTTGGTATCATGTACTAGGAATCATTGTGCACAATGCAGACAGAAGATTGAAATGAATAGAGATGTTAGCCAGTGTTTCACTACTTTTTAGCTATTTCAATCATTGTGCACAATGCAGACAGAAGATTGAAATGACTAGAGATGTTAGCCAGTGTTTCACTACTTTTTAGCTATTTCAACAAACTGTTATGCGGCCATATACCTTAGCCCTCTGGGGTATGGTATAGAAAAATTATTCAAGGTTATAAAGCCTGGGGCACTGTTGTTGAGGAGTATTGTTTTGTGGTAAGAAGGATGCAGAGGTCAAATGGTTGGTTTACTGCACTGCACATCAAGCTGTCTGGGTTTTTAGGCAATGGCTATTAAGGGTCTCTGCATTGTGTTCTTGGGAAAGACACTACTCTCACACTACCTCTCCCCTGGTAGGTGTACAAATGGATACTGGGTGTATTTATATCCATGGCACCTTACACTATTAGCGCAATGGAGCATTGTTTTAAGCGCATAAAACCCCTGAGAGAGAATATGCCACATTCAAAAAGCATACGAACTGTCTGCTCCAGTGTCAAGGAGTGCACAGCATTTGATTCCATTAATTAACCTCGACCACAACAACAGTATATAAAAAAATGACGTTACTTGTTCCCTTGTCTTGTGCTGTCAAAAATCTTCTGACACTCGCGTTGTTTGTCTGGTCACAAATTGATGTGTGATGTTTGCATTTCTACTCCCCCCTGGATGGGATGCAAGTCTGTCGTAGAGTTAGTGCCCAGTATTAAATACACCCACATTTAAAAAGGAGTCAATTTACATGCAAGCCTGGGGGTATGCTTCCTCTGCCATTTTGGACCATCTCCGGATCAGACCACTTCGTGAAGAGAATTCAAGCGTATAGAAATGATGCTGGGATCAGTCAACAAGGCCATCGGAGTTTATGGAGTGACGATTGACAACCTCGACGGAAATTTCCGGTTGGAAACTGAAGTCATGAAAGTGTATCGTGGGTCTTTGTTAGCTTTTGTTATCACTTAAAAACCCAAAATACGCTGAAGTCATCCAAAAGTACTCCCTTATATGGGCTATATAGGTATGTGCGGCGCCAAAGGGTATAGTTTTTCATCCGTTTTGGTCATAAATGGGGTATCGATTTGGCCATTTTGGTCTTAAATGGAGTATGGTTTTTGCACTCTAGTCTTGAATTGGGTATGTTTTTTAGAAGAAGCTACGATTTCATCATTATCGATGAGACCATAAACAGAAGCCCTTCAAAAATTATGTTTAGGGCAACTGTGGCAGC